GCTGGAAGCAGGTATCTGGGATTTATTTATCTTCTATAATTGAAACTTTGTAGCCTTGAGCAGAGCCCAGGTCCTGGAAGCCTGGGTTGCCCCTGGCAACCTAGGCTCCCAGACCTTCCTTGAGCAGAGGCCACGCCAGCTGGAAGCAGGTATCTGGGATTTATTTAGCTTCTATAATTGAAACTTTGTTGCCTTGAGCAGAGCTCAGGGCCGGCAGGGCAGGCAGGAAGCTTGGCTTCCTCCATCGCCGGGGGCAATCCAAGCCTCCTGCTCACTCCAGCTCGGAGGCTGCTACCATCTTAGTTGGGTTAATTTGCATATTTGCTCCTGATTGGCTGGTGGGCGTGGCTTGAGTGTAGCGGAGGTATGGTCAATTTGCATGTTTCTCTTTTATTAGATTAGATGAGTAAATCTTTGGGGCTTTTATGCCAAACTTCACAAATGTAGCTATATGGCTACAGTAACAACTTCACATAAGTTCTCTAATAGCAAAAAAGTGATGAACCTATCAAAGAATTACAAAATTGGAGTTATATTTTTTGGTTTTTCTACATGGAATTAAAATCTGCAAAATACAGTGGGGCCTTGACTTACGAGTTTAATTCATTCCGTGACGGAGCTTGTAACTCAAATTACTCGTATGTCAAATCAACAGTGAACGAGTGAGACACGTGATGCTGGGCTGATGTTGTGGCGTTCACTGTGACGTTTGCTGCGCCAACTAGCGGTGGGGTATCTGAAGCTGGCTCGTAACCCAAATTTTAGCTCGCAACTCAAAGCAAAAAATCGGCTGAGAGACGGCTTGTATCTCGAAAAACTCGTTAGTCGGGACACTCTTAAGTCAAGGCCCCACTGTACATAAAACTACTTAAACTTTCAAAGCATTGCTAAATAGCACTGTTCTTGTCACCTTGAATCAATAAACCAGTCAGGCTATTGCACTATGTGAACAGTATTTCAGGAGTGCTAATATTTTTCCACTGAATTATCACATTCAGCCTTGTTCTCTAATGGACTTCAAACATTTCAAAATAGCTAGCCAACAATTTGAAGCTGTTCCCGCTGGCCAGATCTGGGACAAGTTGAGCCTAAATATTGATGGTAATGTTATATCCAATGACTAAAATAAGAATCCACAAGTACATCTATATATATAAAAGCCTAAGCGACCATTATGACCAGTCGCTATGATGAGCACTGACCGCCAGGGGGCAGATGCTCAACGAAGGAGCTGCCCCCTGGTAGTCAGTGCACTCCCACAGCCAACCTCCCGTGGCCTGCTGAACGCCCATGGTCCCTCCCCCGACCGGTCAGCCAGCCAACCTCCTGCGGTCCCTCCTCCCCAGTCATCCGGTCACCCTCCTGCAGTCCCTCCCCCTGGACTGGGCGAGACGGCCCCAATCGCTGGCCAGGCTGATGGACCCCACCTGTGCATGAATTCGTGCACCAGGCCTCTAGTCTATATATATAAAAGCCTAAGCGACAGTTTCGACCAGTCGACCGAAAAACTGGTCAACCAGTAACCATGATGTGCACTGACCACCAGGGGGCAGCCTCTCAACACAGGAGCTGCCCCCTGGTGGTCAGTGCGCTCCCATAGCCAACCTCCTGCGGCCAGCCAACCTTTCACAGCCCCTCCCCCTGGCCAGCTGGCCTCGATCAGCCCTTATCAAGACTGGGTGAGACAGCCTCAATTGCCTCGATTCCCAGCCAGGCTGAGGGACCCCACCCGTGCATGAATGCGTGTACCGGGCCTCTAGTACCAATAGAAAATTTCTGATTTTGGTAATTGTACTGTGGTCATGTAAGAAAATGTCCTGTTCTTAGGAAATAAGCACTGATAAAGGGGCATGATGTCTCCATTTAGCAAAAAAGTTTAGAAAAAAAGATAAACAAAATAAAAACTCCACAAGCCTGGCAAGTCAAGGATATAATACTCGTTTGTGCTACTTCCTCAGTAAGATGACAGCTACCTATCTGCCAATTCCGCAAAACACTGTATCTGTTCTTTTGGCTGCCGTTCCTCCATTTACTGTTAATAGGGATAAGCACAAGCTATACTATCAACCACTGCGAATTTATAAAAACTAATGAATCACCAATTATGATCTAAACATTAGAAATAATTGGTGATCCTTCTCTCTCCAATAGCTAGATATCTGGTTCTCGGCTTACTGACAATTATTTCCAAGAAACACTATGAAGATAAAGACTAGGCATGGGAACATTTGGCACCACAAGGATTCATCACAATCCTAAAATGAATTTAGTATGACATTAACACATTCATCTGTATGTATTATCTTAGAATGTGCTTTTTATGAAAAATTTAGTTCCTAGTGAGTCATAATAATATAACTCAAAGTTTTATCAGAAAGCTTATGTTACAATTGAAAGGACTTTTATTTTAAAAATTCTTAGCTCCAGAAATCACAAGAATTTATTAAGTTGGTGTGATGTAGATACAAATAATTTTTACCGGAGTCTCTACTATTCTCATCAGACTCCTCTTCATCGTCATCAGAATAATTTTTCTTTGGGGTTTTTCTCCGCAAACGCCTGCTTTGCCTCATTGGCCGGGAGGGATGTCGTCTTAGTCTTCGGCTACAGAAATCAGTGTCACTGTCATCATTAGATGGTGGGTCTTCTTCACTTTCATCTGGGTTTTCATCAGATACAACAAACTCATCTTGAGATCTGTCCAAGAGAAACCAGATGAATTATGATGGTACTTAAAATTGTGATCCCGGCCCGGCTGGCACAGCTCAGTGGCTGAACGTCGACCTATGAACCAGAAGGTCACAGTTCCATTCCCGGTCAGGGCACATGCCTGGGTTGTGGGCTCCATCCTCAGTATGGGTGCAGGAGGCAGCTGATGAATAATTCTTTATTATCATTGATGTTTCTCTCTCCCTCTCCCTCTCCCTTCCTCTTCCTGAATCGATAAAAAATATTTAAAATCCCCCTCCGAAAACAACTAAACTGTGAGCCCGTAGTTCTGAGTTCAAGTTCTAACAAGTCCAGCAAATCATAAAATAATGTTTAATGTAACATCTGAATACTTGTATCAACTTCCCTAAAATGAAGAAATGATCTGCTAGGGCAGTGGTTCTCAACCTTCCTAATGCCACGACCCTTTAATACAGTTCCTCATGTTGTGGTGATCCCCAATTTCATTGTTACAAATTGAACATAATTAAAGCATAGTGATTAATCACAAAAACAATATGTAATTATATATGTGTTTTCCGATGGTCTTAGGCGACGCCTGTGAAAGGGTCGTTCGACTGCCAAAGGGGTCGCGACCCACAGGTTGAGAACCGCTGGCTTAGGGGGAGTTATGAAGATGCATTGATGTTGATTTTCATGCATACATTGCTTTGGCCTCTTGAGATGTCCCCCATGTGCCTTAAATTCAACATCTCCAAAAGCAAACTCATTATTTCCTAACCTACTTCTCTCTCTTCAGCCCCCGAGCCTGGTATTTGATACAATTACCCATCTAGGGACTTAAACCAGAAATCTGGTATTTATCCTAATTTCCTCCCTTCTATTTCTCATATCTAATCATTTAGTAATTCCTTGAGTCCACCTCTCAAAGATAATATCTCAAATCATCTTGTACCTGAACTACTATAGCAATTCTCCAAGTTGCCTCTGTAATCTCTAGACCATTTCCCTTCAATACATCCTCCAAAAGAATACCAGGATAAATCTTTCTGAAATGTAAACCTCTTATCAGTCTGGTGTTTAAAACCCTTTGGTGGGTTTTCATCATCTTCACAGAGTCCTATGCCTGACAAATAAAACACGCCATCATCTGTTTCCTTTTCACCTCTTGGCCACATCTCCAGCAGGGCACTCTCTACTGCTTTCCCACAGTTTTGCTGACACACCAGGAATTTCCTAAATATTCCATGGGGTTTTATGTGATTTCTCTGATTAGAACTTCTTTCTTCATCCTGCTTCTCATCCCAAACTGCCCAACTAGTCATGCAAATTTCATCAAGCTTGGTTTATAGGCTGAGAGAAATCTGCATTATTGTTTCTGTACCTGCTCCAAGGGAAGGCTTTTCTAATATTCCATGCTGGATTACTTACCTCAAGCCAAACCTCTAAGGTTCACTAGAGAATAGTATCCTAATTACTTGTGCTTATCTATGTCTCATTTGACTAGCAACCACTCATGGACATCCTGGTAGAAGGTGGCACAGAGGTACACAATAAAAGGATCCTCAATTACAGTTAACGAAATTGAAATACAACTTAGAATCCTATATAATAAAGGCCTAATATGAAAATCGAACAAATGACAGAACAACCGGTTGGTGGGGGTGGGGCTGGAGAGCAGGCGGTGCCAGGCCAGCCAAGGTGGTGCCAGCGGGCAGAGGAAGGGGACAGCAATCAGGGGGCAGCACCAGAACTGCCCCCTGGTGGTCAGTGCGCTCCCACAGGGGAGCGCTGCTCAGCCACAAGCAGAGCTGACAGCTGGCAAGCACAGTGGCAGCACTGAAGATGTCCGACTGTGGCTTAGGCCTGCTCTCCATGGGTTGGACATCCCCCGAGATGTCCGACTGTGGCTTAGGCCTGCTCTCCATGGGTCGGACATCCCTCGAGGCTCCTGGACTGCAAAAGGACGCAGGGATGTCCGACTGTGGCTTAGGCCTGCTCTCCATGGGTCGGACATCCCTCGAGGCTCCTGGACTGCAAAAGGACGCAGGCTGGGCTGAGGGGACGCGCCTCCCCCCCCCCCCCCCCCCCCGCGCACGCCCCCCCCCCCCCCCCCCCCCGCTCGAGTGCACGAATTTTCGTGTACCGGGCCTCTAGTATTAAATAAACAAACATAAACCTTCTTTGTTTTAACCTAAAAATAACCAAGATTAGCCCTGGCCAGTTTGACTCAGTGGTTAGAGAATGGGCCCGCCAACCAAAGGGTTCAATTCCCAGTCAAGGGCACATAACTCAGTTGCATGTTCCCCAGTCCTTGTAGGGGCACATGTGGGAGGCAACTAATGATGTGTCTTTCTCACGTTGATGTTTCTCTCTTTCTCTCTCTCTTTCTCTCTCCCTCTTTCTTCCCTTTCCATTCTTTCTAGAAATCAACGGAAAAAATATCCTCAGGTGAGAACTAAAAAGAAAAAGAACCAAGACTGTTCATAAATCTGTGTTAAATAATCTGAACATAAAAAGAGATTGTCTGTGTGCACAAAACACAAAAACCCTGCCACAGCGTGGCCAGCTTCTCTGCTAGCACCGTTTAAGCCTGAATCTAGGGACTGGGGTCAACTGGCAGACCACGCACCCATCACTGATCTTGAACTCATCCTCACTCTCTTCTTCATCCAGGTTGCTGTCACTGTCCAGATCATTTAATCGCCGGCGTTTCTTCCGGCGAGCAGCAGCAGCCCTCTGGGGCCGTTTATTCTCCTTTCTTTCTTCATCCAAAATAGTGGAGATATCTTTCCCACGGTGACCCGTGATGGTGGAGATATCTTTTCCTCGGCCAACTCCTGAATTCAGGGGTGGAGAGTTGAGGGGAAGAGAGGGAGAGAGGAAGAGGGACAACTGTACATTTATTAAAAGTTTCCCTTTAATATCTAGACTCATAATACGAGACTGTTCTTATTTGTGCTTAGCAGCTCTTTACTTGATTTATTTTCTTCCTACAAATCTGCCCTTTTCTCACGACTGCAGCTGACAGAGCTTTCATCAAGAGTGTTGGCATTTGTTTGTCCTACTAAATAAAAGTTCACCTTGTAGAAAACATCTTTTTCTTACATTTTGATGTAATTCCTATACCATAATATTCACTCTTTAAAGTGTATATGTCAGAGGTTCTTAGTATAGTCAAAGTTGTACAACTGTCACCACTAAATAATTTCAAAGCATTTCATCACCCCAAAAAGAAACCTCATACCTATTAGCAGTGATTCAAGAATCTCTTCTTGAAAGTTGTCTTTTGGACATGGCATTAGAAAGAGGCCAATCAATTTTTTAAAAAATTAACAGTGTTTGCAGGACTGAAAAAGTGAGAATTCAGCAGCAAAGGTGTAAGTAGGCACACGTCTTTGGAAAAGCTAGTGATTTCTTCAGTTTCCCTACAAACAGCCTATGTATTATGAACCCCTTCCAGTTTTCATAATAACTAAATGGAAAGCACAATGCTCCACACTGGAGCACTGGTAATTTGCTATGTAGCTCTTAAATGAAATTACCTTTACATTATACTACATTAATGTCATATATTAAAGAGTATGAAATTAATAAACTGATTTTTAAAAGGTTAATTTAGAGAAATATATTTAGAGTCAGATATCCATAATTTTTGATACTTTGTAGCAGGACTGATCTAAAAATAGAAAGAAAACAGGGAAGTTTCACTGGGTTTTCCATTTGGAAGCAGAAGTAAATTTATAATCTACTGAGAAACATTTTCATTTTACATCATATTATAAAACAAAACTTTTAAAATAAGTAGTAAGATCCGAGTCTACACACTGACACTGTGTCCACAGATTATTTTGAATCTCAGACTGTTAACATCAGCAGTAACCATGATAAACAATGGGGAGCAAAAAAAAAAAAAAAAAAAAAAAAACCACCCCCCCAAACACGG